GTTGAAGGTTGGGGTTGCATCCCCTCATGCCTTCGTATCTCTGGGAAGGGCTAAAAGTCAGGAACTTCACTGCTGTGTCATTCCCGTATTGCAAAGTGGCCAATTCAGTTGAAACTTCCAGTAAAGCTGGCGGGTGCTGGGACTTCTTCTAATTGGGCTCCTGCTCTGAATCAGAATCATCCCTTCTTAGCCCACCAAAGGCCAGTGGAAACACTGATTTACTTCCCACGTGCACTGGGCCGCCTGCACGTTTCCAGTCCTCTTCCCTCATCGATTTGCAGGTGACTTTCAGAGCTGCCAAGTCTCATTCCTCTGCCAGGACTGAAATCCATTTCTTCCATATTCATTTTCTACCTGGTTTTTAGGGCCTCATCCACATGTGCAGAGGGGCTGAGACCAGGACTTAGACATGGCTCCAGATTCCTGAAGAACCTTCATGTTCAGCTCATTGCCCCTTAGCAGACCTGTTGTTCGCCCCCCATAAGTTGTTTAATGACCTAAAAAGTGGAGCCCTCTGAGATGGTGAAATCCCATCTTCTTGAGGGGAAGCTTCATCTCATCAGTAAAGGAAAAACATGGTGTTCACCATATGTTATCATGGCCAGGCCAACGTGTACCACCAGACCACAGAGCACCTCTGCTGTGCCCGCCATCCAACTAAGTCCCTCTCCCAACATTGCAGCTTATGTCTGGTTTCCTGGTTGCCTTTTTCCTCCTAGAAGAAGGAATTCATAAGAAGAGACTCTGAAAGGACATCCCAGCATGGATGTCCTGCTCTGCAAGCATGGCAGGACATTCACGGGACATCTGCATATTTTTTCCTTTGGGAATGCGGGGACAAAAAGGATAGGGGTGGGTCTCCAGGTGGTGTTAAACCTTGAGCATCCATCACAGAGATGCTGGGATGCATCTGTGTGCACTGAGCCATTGGGTGGAAACTTTTGCATCCCCCTTGCTGTATTAGTAACTGGAGCATTAGGTGGCCAGCCATGAGAAGAGCTGCGAATTGCAGCCACCTCATTATCCTTCTTTGCTTTGGGAATGGGATCGTATCCTTTAATCTGGGATCATTTCACATGGAGGCAGATCCTGGGGAGGAGCAAGGTGGTTGTGGGTACCATGCCCTGCATGAAACCCTTTCCTGGAGCCTAACTTGAATGCAGGACAGCACAGAACCCCTTGGTAGCATCAGGAGAGTGATGGAGACCAAACATCCATCAGGCTGGAGGCTGGTCAGGAAGGGAAGGTATCCTTAATCCCAGCCTTCCCTCCATCAAAGCTTTTTATAGCTGGATGGTGGAGTTTGGGAAGCTACAAGCAAGACGTCTTCCCCTGCATCCCTTCGCTTTGAGGCTTGTGCATCTTCTGTCCATGATGTGGGGCATCTCCAGCTGCCTCCCACCCTCACACCCTGGGGAGCAAAGCAGTTCTTTAAACCCTCATTGATCAGGAGCCATGGACAAGGAGAGGATTTGGGGACAAGGACCAGACCCATCTCCTTTTACCCTCTATCTGGTGCGATTTGTCCTCCATCAGGTTTGAGGAGCGGCAGTGTGCACTGGCAGCCCAGAAAGCCAACCATATCCTGGGCTGCACCAAAGGAGCGTGACCAGCAGGTTGAAGGAGGTGATCCTGCCCCTCTACTTTGCTCTAGTGAGACCTCATTTGCAGCACTGTGTGCAGTTCTGGTGTCCTCAACATAAGGACATGGAGCTGTTGGAACAAGTCCAGAGGAGGACATGAGGATGCTCAGGGGCTGGAGCAGCTCCTGTATGGAGCCAGGCTGAGAACATTGGGACTGTTGAGCCTGGAGAAGAGAAGCTGCATGGAGACCTCAGAGCAGCTTCCAGTGTCTGAAGGGGGCCTATAGGAATGCTGGAGAGGGACTCTTCATTAGGGACTGGAGTGATAGGACAAGGGGTGATGGGCTAAAACTGAAACAAGGGAAGTTTAGATTGGATATAAGGAAGAAATTCTTTACTGTGAGGGTGCTGAGGCACTGGCACAGAGTGCCCAGAGAAATTGTGAATGCTCCATCCCTGGCAGTGTTCAAGGCCAGGTTGGGCAGAGCCTTGGGTGACATGGTCTAGTGTGAGGTGTCCCTGCCCGTGGCAGAGGGTTGGAATTGGGAGAACTTAAGCTCTTTTCCAACCCATTCTATGATTCTTTGCTTCCCCACCTTTAAACCCCCCTGTATCCACATGTGAAGGAAACAAACCTTGTTTTCACTCCCCCGTGGGGTGCAGCTGGAGCCGCTCGGCTCGGCAGCGTCTGGGGGAAGGCCAGGCTTTATTGAAACCCATAATGGTGCCACCTGAAGCGTGATTTACTGCACTGTCCACTCCTCGGCCTTGATAATATGTTTCTATTAGATTTCCTTCCTTTCCCTCCTTCCTCCTCGCAAAGAGAGGCAACTTTCTCCATCTGCCTGACACCTTCTTAGGCTTAGGCAAAATAAATGTTGATTTTCATCAAGAGGAAGAGCGCTGGAAGTCCTCATTCCCCGCCTGAGCTTGACAAGCTCAGCAAAAGCCGCCCGCTTTTCGAGGGAGAGAACTGGTGCTCCAGCCCCGGTTCTTCTCTTTGGAAGCAGTTCAATCATCGTAATGAAAAAGGGGTTTCTTAGCTTGGCTTTCACTAACTAGAAATGATATACCTGGTTCCTGGAAGATGGATTGTGCGGCTGCTGAAATGCAGACGAGGAGGAGAGGGGGGAGAGAGTGAAGGCGCGCGAGATGCGACCCAAGATTGATCACACCATTTGCAGGATCTCCCATGCACAAACAGCAGAAAACATCTTTTCCTTTGCTGGGGTGGGTTTAGTGACACCCCCTTTATTCTCCAGGTCCCCCCTTTGGCTTTCACAAGGGGGTGTTTCATCGTGGGGTGCTCTCCCATCCCTGTTTGCTCACCGTGGGGTGAAGCATCCACTGCTTCATCCTTTCCCGGAGCAGCATCTCCCTCCATCCAAAGTGAGAAACTGGACCAGTTTAGTCCTTTTGCATCCTATTTTGGGGTTGATTTTATTATCACCCTCCTTAATTTTGTAAGGAATAAGTTTGAAATCAGGCTCGGATGCTCTGAAAGCATCTCGGCTCCATTCAACCTCATACTGAAGTCAGGAAGTTAATTACAGTTGATTTAAAAATCACCTTTTCTTGTCTTCCTCCCCCCCAAAAAAGAGAGAAATCGATATTTCTCCTTCTGTAATCATATTTGCTTTGAGTTGCAAAGCCTGGCTTTCATGGATATTAGCTAATGAAGTGTTTTCCAGTTCATGCAGCATGGAATTGAGCCGTTTCCACTGTTCCAGTTGGACCAGGGCTGTGGTTTTTTGGGGGGCAGGAATAAGGAGATGCTCATTTTGACCCTTTGGGGTTGATGGGTTGGACCCTAATTAACACCAACCGGAATGGAATTTGGATATTGCAGGCTGGATAAACCATGTGGAGCAGCTGAAACATTAGGAAGGTGATCAAAGGCCAAGAGGGGTGCGTTGGGCATCTGCTTGGTGTTGCTGTTCCCCAAAGCTGAGTTTGGCTGCTTTGCTAGTGACTAATGGCCAAGTCCGAGGTGGCTGCTGTGCACCACTCTGATGTATGGGTGTTATATTAAGGGTGGAAAGGTGCTAAATGAGCCCTCTTTATTCTACATAAATTAGCTCAGAAGCTATGTATCACTGCCACGGAGGCTTAGACTCAGAGGCAAGTTTGTTTAAAAGCAGGGAACAACTCTTGGTGACTCCCTGTTGTTGGATGCTGCTTGGGGTCTTCTTCTCTCCACACCTCTCTGCCCCAAAACCACCTCCTTTGGGCTTTCAGGGCTGCTGGAAGGTGCCCATGGTCCCACCTCTGTGCTGGGCATCATTTGGGAGGTGCAGTGTGGAGCACCAATGTGTTTGCAGGGTCATAGAATGGTTTGTGTTGGAAGGGACCTTAAAGCTCATCCAGTTCCAGCCCCTGTATTCTGGCAAACCTCCTTTTCCCATCCACATTCATCAGGTGTCCACACACTCTGTTACCAACCCATCAGTTTGGTTGGTAGAACCCCCTAACTGCTGCTACTCTACACCCTTCAGGGAGGGAAAGGTATGTCTGGTGTTGAGGTTGAAATGGAGGAGGACTTCACACCATCCACCCTCATCCATGGGATGTGCCTGGACTCATCCTGCAGACAGATCACCTCCCAAAGGCCCTTCATGGGGTTTTGGCTTCATACAAGCAGTTGGGCCCCTCTTTGGGGGAGGCACAGCTCCAGCAAGCAGAAGTCATCACCTGAAGCATCTTGGGGGGGATTCTGAGGGCAGCAGAGAGCTGTGGTCCCCAAACCTTTCTCCAGCATGGCCATAGCACCGAGCATGAGTTAATCTCTTGCTTACTGGTGCTCAGGTGTTACCTGCTCCACCCCAGCCCCAAAGCAGGTCAAGATGTTCACCTTGGGCTGCAATTTGAAGCTTTGTCTATCTTTTCTTTCCTATTTCACCCATAACTTGGGGGTTCTGCAGCAGCTCCGCAATGGGAAGGGACCTCTGAGTGTCTCCATCCCCTCCACATGTAGGGGGCTGAGGATGCTCAGGGATCTGAGGAACCAGCCACCTCCATCCCAGCCATGGCCAAGGGGAACATCAGCTCTGGGCTCACACAGACACATGTCCCCATCCCAAAGGGACCAACTCTTGACTGGAATGCTGGGGAAGGGGCTGCAGGGCAGCAGGGCCAGGCTGAGCACCCACTGGGGACACACGTGTCGCCACCAGCAGTGGGCAGGGTGGCTTTGGGACAGGATGCAATTAAGGTTTCTCTACTTGCTCAATAGTTAATCCTTCCTGTTGGTGCTCTGGGCACCTTTTATTCCCTTTTCCCCCCGTTAAAGCATGAAGTGCTGAGGCTACAGGGGCGGAAGAGCTTGCGATGCTCCTGCACCTGCATCCCAAAGGATTTCCAAAGCAACCCAAGAAAACTTTAATGACTTTCTCCTCTTTTCTTCCTTTCTGCTCCCAGTCAGCACCAGAAGGAAGAGGACTTTGCTGCCAGTATCCTTGGGGGACTCTGAAAACACCTGTCCAAAGGAGGGTGGCAGAGGTGAGGCTGGTGGGTGCTATTGGGTTGTGTGCTGCTGGTTGAGTGGAGGAGCACCCGTATGCCCAGTGCTTTATATCCAACCTAAATCTCCCCGATTTCAGTTTGAACCCATCACCCCTTGTCCTGTCACTCCAGTCCCTCTCCAGCATCCTTGTAGGCCCCCTTTAGGCACTGGAGCTGCTCTCAGGTCTCCCCTTCCTGCAGCAGAGGGGCAGGATCCCCTCCCTGAGCTGCTGTTCACGCTCTGGGGGTGCAGCCCAGAACACGGGGGGGTTCTGGGCTCAAGCACACACTGAAGCCAGGTCATGGGGAGCTTCTCATTGACCGACAGCCCCAAGTCCTTCTGCCAGGGCTGCTCCATCCACTCTGCCCAGCCTGTGTTTGTACCAGGAATTGCCCCAGCCCGTGTGCAGGACCTTGCCCTTGGCCTGTTGAACTCCATGAGGTTCACACATTCCCACTTCCCAAGTGTGTCCAGAGCCCTCTGGATCCCATCCCTTCCCTCCAGTGTGTTGATCACACCACACAGCTTGGTGTCATTGACAGCCTTGCTGAGGGCTCATCAATCCCACCGTCCGTGTTGTTGACAAAGACGTTGGACAGGATCCTGTTGGAACAAGTCCAGAGGAGGCCACAAGGATGATCAGGAGCTGCAGCACCTCCCCTATGGAGACAGGCTGAGAACATTGGGGCTGTTGAGCCTGGAGAAGAGAAGCTGCATGAAGACCTCAGAGCAGCTTCCAGTGTCTGAAGGGGGCTGTAGGGAAGCTGGGGAGGGACTCTTCATCAGGGACTGTAGTGACAGGACAAGGGGCAATGGGTTCAAACTTAAACAGGGGAAGTTCAGGTTGGAGATAAGGATGAAATTCTTTCCTGTTAGGGTGGTGAGGCACTGGAATGGGTTGCCCAGGGAGGTTGTGAATGCTCCATCCCTGGCAGTGTTCAAGGCCAGGTTGGACAAAGCCTTGGGTGTCATGGTCTAGTGTGAGGTGTCCCTGCCCATGGGAGGGGCGTTGGAAGTGGATGATCTTAAGGTCCTTTCCAACCCTAACTATTCTGTGATTCTGTGATGGATCCCAACACCGACACCTGAGGGACACCACTCATTACTGGTCTCCACGTGGACATTGAGCCATTCACCGCAGCTCTTTGAGTGCAACCATCCAGCTAATTCCATATCCACCAGGTGGTCCCTCCATCATACCCGTGTCTCTCCAGTTTAGAGACAAGGATATCACAAAGAGCACTTCACACAAGCCCATAGAATCATAGAATGGTTAGGGTCGGAAAGGACCTTAAGATCATCAAGTTCCAACCCCCCTGCCATGGGCAGGAACACCTCACACTAAACCATATCACCCAAGTCCTTGTCCAACAGCACCAGTTGCTCTGTCCCTACCTTCTTCCTCTCCTCCCCAGGCAAACGGCTGCAGATCAAGCCCAGGCTGTGAACAAGAACCCAACCCAACAGCATCCAACCAGCTCAGGAACCGCAGAGCCGGGCACGACCCGGCCCCTACCTCAGGACGCCGCGGCCGCACGCGGCACCTTCTTCTCCTCTTGCTCTTTGGGGACGTTGTCATGGCAGGGAATGGGGTGGCAGCACTGGGGCAGCATCACCCCCCTTCCCCTGCAGCTTCATTGGGAGTATTGAAGTTGCCAATAAATGATCCAGTTTAGTGAAGATGAAACCTGCTCTGGGCTCTTTGGATGCTCACAGGGTTGGGAAGAGGCTCCCAGCCCCACCAGTCCTCCTGCAGATCACAGCTCTGCTGCTGTACAGGACATGAGGTGATTGTGCCATCAAGCAGCGTGCCCCTGTCCAGGTCAGCCACTCCACAGGCAACAAGCATGTCCGGTGGTCTCAAGTCAGCACCACACTGGGATGTAACAGGGCATAAAGCCCCCACAGAACTCCAGTCTCTCCATGCCACCTGCATCCATCCTGCTCCATCCCCTTGCTGTTGGGAGGGGATTTCTTGGAGCAGAGCCATGTGCCGAGAGCATCCCAAGTGGAAATGTGCTGGGAGCAGCACTGAGCTCACATCAAAGGCTCCTGCAGCGTGTCGGGGTCCCCATGGCTGGTTGTACCCTGATCCCACCTCTCCCCATCCCAGAAGGGGTTTGGTTTCCCTTGGGAGACCCAGCCCAGTGCTTTGGGTCCCTCCGAATCCAAGCAGGAGCAGAACATGGGAAGAGCATTGTGCAGAGCCAAGTAGCGGCCATGCAGCTGCTGGTACAATGGGGTTTGCATCCATGGGTACAATTCCCACCTGGATTTTTGGGCAGTGGATGCTGTTCCCACATGATTCTAGGCCCAACAGCAGGATTATGAGGTGCTGAGAGCCATGTGCAGTGGCAGGATTTGCCCATCCACTGCCCCTCCATCACATCACCTGCAGGGAAAGACATCAGCAAGAGCATAGGTGAGCACTGGGGATCCCTGGGGACCCAGCACCCAGCTGGGCTTGGTGATGGGGTGGGTGATGGAGCCACCACGATGCCTTGGGCTCAGCTGCACCATGGATACAGCAAGGGGTTGATGGGTGCAGTTTCACCCCCGGGGACCCCTATGGTGGTGGTGGTGGTGGGGTATCTTGGGGGCTCCTGGTGAGGGATTTATCACCTGTCTCAAGTGACTTGGACCATGGGATGCCACCAGAGGCACCACGTGGCTCCTCTGTAAGGATGCTGAACTGGCAATGCAGTTTAGTGCCACTCGGACACCAGTTTGTGGTAGCCTCATCCCCATTGTCCCCCCAGTTATCGTGAGGACCAGCAACTCCTACCCCAGCCTGTGTACCACGAGCTGTTTTCTAGTGACACCTTTGTTGTTCCCATTGTTATTCCATGTCTTTTATTGACCCTTGTGTTTTGATATGTAAATAAAGGGGTTCTCCAGGATGCCTGGTCGGAGCATGGCTTTTTTATTCGGCAGTACATGAACATCCCATCAAGGAGAAGCTGCTCTGATCCCCAGATCTTTGGGGTTCTTTAAGTATTAGAACCTTTCCCCCCTTTCCCCATTATGTTTCTTCATAGTGGTTTCCTACCAAAAAACAACCCAAATTCACTACAGATCAGCCCAGGGGAGATGATGCTGCTGCATCCCCAAGGATGACCAATGCAATGTGATGCTAACCAAGAGCTTTGGTGCTTCTGGCTGTGGCTTCCTAATGAGCAGTCGAACGAGGGTTAAGCACTCATTAAGGAAGGTGATGAGTAGCTCCCCAAGAGCCCTGATGCTGCTTCCCACTGGCTCCACTGCTCCCTTCCCATGCAGGGTTGTCATTTATTGCTGGCTCTGGTTCAAATCACCGCTTGGGAGTGATGGATATCTGAGGAGCGATAAAAACAGCCCCTGGAGATGGTGGTGGTGAGCCCTGACGCCTCGGTGACGGGCCCCAGTGGGGTTTATCCACCTTCCCCATGATGCTGCGGTGATGGTCTGTGCCAGCACCATGGTGTGGATGTGCCCTGGGGGTTCCTTAGCTGGAGAGATGGCATCAGCCTCTTGGTATGGTTTTTCCTTCTCCCAAAATGATGGCGTCAAGCAACCTGCTCTAGTGTGAGCTGTCCCTGCCCATAGCAGGGGGTTGGAACTGGATGAGCTTTAAGGTCCTTTCCAGCCCAACCCGTTCCATGATTCAATGAGTTTTGACCCTTCTCCCTTCATCAACACCCAGACTCCTGCTGCAGATGCTGATGGAGCATCACCAAGATGGTCCCACCAACACCCCGGGGGGTCAAGAGCTCCCCAAGCCCATCACCACCCCATGGGGAAACCGAGGCAGCGCCCATGCCTGCACCCGGCCCTGCTCCAAGCAAGCACCCGCTCTAAAAGCAAGCGGTGACACCATCCCATGGCCACCAACCTGGTTATGTCACTCGGCTGCCTGCGTTTCAACCCCGCCTACCGGCGCGGCGTGGCCAGGAGGGACCAGGACGTGTCACTGTACCCAGCACCCGCTATAAATACCCCAAGGGGGTGGCTTGGGCCGGTGACGGCTCCATTGGAGCCCTTCCCATTCCCTAAATCCCATCCTGGCTCCGGCCCCATCCTTGGTGGCAGCTGCTGATGGGGGCCGGGTGCCCCCGAGGCATGAGCGGCTCTGGGGAGGGGGGGTGGCTCCGCATCCCAGATTCCCAGAGCTGGATCCCGATATCCCACTGCGCAGGTACGGGGATGCTGCGTTGGGGGTCACACAATGAATAGGGGTTAAAAACGTCCCATGAAAAGGTTTTTTTTTCTGTTGCAAAAGTATCAAAATGCCCTTTTTTTGTCCCATTCTTTGTGCTCTCTATCAATTGGGGGGCTCCCTGCCCAAGTTTGGGGTCTCCAATGTGGGATAACTGTGTTCCAGGTTATCCATTATGGGATAAATTCCAGCATTAGGAGGGTCCCGGGGGACCTGCATCTGTGTCCCTCCTAAGGAGGACAAATGTCACCCCTGGCTTAATTTTACCTTTACAGGAGGAGAAGGATGGAGAAGGGGACAACAACACCCCCAACCCAGAGGCTGGATCCAGTAGAAGAGGTGGTGTGGGATTGTAATTGCTGGGGATGCAGCAGGAGAGGGGCTTTCACCCCCCCAAATCACCCTGTTTGCCCCAAATAATCCCACTTAGCCCAGTGTTCCCCATTCCCAAAGTCCCAAGTGGGGAGGGCCATCAGCTGGGTAAGGGGACCATGTCCCCCCATCCCATAGTGGGCAGGATGCAGCCAGGCTGGGATGTTGTGGTACCCCAAGGACATCCTATGGGAGATGGAGACATGGGAGGGGGGTGATGGTGGGTATTGACAGCCCCTATGGGATGAATCCCTTGGGGTTAGGGGTACAACTCAATGGCTATGCTCCGTGCCTCAGTTTCCCTCCAACACCTTCCTATGGGGCTGTGCCCACAGCCAGGACCAGGCCCCTGTGTGCTCCATCCCTGCCCATAGTGTGCGTCCCATAACCACCCCCCAGCGCTGCCCTTGACCCCATCAGGGTTAATCCCGACTCCTTCCCTGCCACATCCTGGTCCCTCCTTGTGCTGCAGCTGCAGCAGCCACGAGGTGGCAGGGCTCGGAGCAGCAGCCAGGCCAGGGCCTCATCCTGCGCTGGGATGAGCACCCAAAGCCCCTCACTCGATGCCAGTGATGCCTTTGCCGTGGGATGGGACAGCGAGGCTTCATCCTGGAGCTGGTGATGCTCCTCACCGTGTGCAAGGCACAAACATCACCTCCTGTGGCACGAAGCTGGGGCCAGACCTGGATTATGGGAACATCAAATAATATCCCAAAATAGATAGATATATGTATTTTGGAAGGGTGGAAAACCTTCCCTGTATCCCAGGGAGGATGCTCCGGACTGGGAACACCGAGGTGGGGAGGGAAAGGGCTTCATCCCTTTCATCCCAGGTCGATGTTGTGCCTGGTACCCACAACAGCATGGGTGACTGTGGTCCCTCAGTGAGGTGTGGAACCTGGTTTGGGATCAATAATCCCCGTTCTGGGTCTTTCCCGTTTTTGGGGGAGGAAATTATGGTTTCTCTTCTGTTTGTGCTCACTTCTTGCTTGGGCCTGGGGTGGTTGGGGGGAGCTGGAATGGGGGGGTGGAATGGAGGGAGGATAGACAGGGGATGCAGAGAAAGGGAGCAGAGGGACTGCAGGGGGTTACATGGGGATGCAGGGGGATACAAAGGGATGCAGAAAGGTGGAGGCGGGAGTGGAGGGAGGATGCAGGGGGGCACAAGGGGATGCAGTGTGTGGGGGGGGTGTGCACGGGATATGAGAGGGGATAAAAGGGGAATGTGGGGAGGATGCCTGGGGGGATGAAGGGGCATGCAGAGAGGGGGCACAGGGGGTTAGAGGGTGTTATATGGGGGTGCAAGTTTAAGCAAGGGGATGCAGGGGGATGAACGAAGGGTGCAAAGTGATGCAAGAGGATGCGGGGGGGGATGCTGAAGATGCAGGTAAGGTGCAACGTGGTGCGGGGGGGGTGCAAGAGGTTACATTGGGATGCAGGTGGGGGTGAAAGGGGATGAGGGGTGGGGGGGTACATGAAGGATGCATGGGGGTGCAAGGGAATGCAGGAGTATGTGGTGGGATGCATGGGGAAGGAATGGTGGGGAGATGCAGGGGGCATTCAGAGGGAATGCAGAGAGGGGATGCACTGGGGAGGAAGTGGGGTGCAGTGAGGTACAGGGGGATGCAGGAGGGATGTGGGTCGGGGGCACAACGGGATGCAGGCGATGCAGGGGGATGCAGAGAGGGGATGCACTGGGGAGGAAGTGGGGTGCAGTGAGGTACAGGGGGATGCAGGAGGGATGTGTGTCGGGGGCACAACGGGATGCAGAGAGGGATGCAGGGGTTGATGCGATGGGATACAGGAGGATGCCCGGGGGGGAGATGGCCGGGGCACGGGGTCCCCTCCTCCGGAGCCGCCGCGGGCAGCGCCGACCCGGTCCCCGCAGTGATTGACAGCAGCCCCGAGGCGTTACCATGGGGATATGCAAATCGAGACGGGGCATCCGCCGCGCTGATAGGCCAGAAACAGCAGTCCCCGCCCCGGGAGGCGGGGCCGGGCCGCACTTCCCCATATATAAGGCATCGGGCTCCATTCAGCCGCCCGGCAGCGCCGAGTACGGGCAGGGAGCAGGCAGGGGACGGGCAGGGGGGCAGCCCCCGCCCCTGGTGCCCGTGTCC